GGGGGAGCAGGCTAGGAAATGGTTGCTTGTCTAATAACCCAGTAAATCTCTTGGACACAGGACATGGGTGGTAAGAACTATTTCTGGCTGAAGATGGGAGAGCCTTAAAAATAGCCCTGAGAAATTAAAAAATTAAAAGAAAACCCTAACTCATTTGAATCATCACAGTTCATGTCCTGCAAAAACTGTTCCAGTCTGACAAGCGATCCAGAGTTTCCAGCGCTTATCTAAAATGTAAACTGGAGGAATGAGTAATCCCCTCTGAAGGACTTAATAACTCTTTGTCCCTTCCTCCATATATTCACATTTGAGTCATCATAGCAAGGAGGATACAATAGGTATTTGTGGGAGGCATAAAGCCCGCGCTCTCAGGGAACGTATGGTTCCTCTGCAGATGTTACTGTTTTCTCTGGCATCTTAAACACTGCTTATAAAGAATTTCTCTCCCTTTGGGCTGTGACCCCCAGCTTTTTGTCTTGAGTCAGACAAATGGAGACAAAAGCATCCTGGCAGCATTAATTTACTCTAATTATTGGATTGGGGGTGTGCAACTTCTTCAGCATATTTATGAAAATTCAGTGTGTTCCGTAAGTGACCTGGGTGGGCTTATTTCCATGTGAACAATGAAGAAAACCTGGGAGAGAAAAGTCTGTTCCCACACACAACGCATTGAACGAAATCACCCACATCCAGCATTTTGTCTACCTTAGGGACTTGGGGCTTGTCCCTCTTTAGGGACAGTGGCTGGGGAAGCAGGGCATGGGAATTCATCATGCTCTGAAACCAGATGCAAAACTCAATTTTGCAGCTCATCTGCTTCTCAATATCTTCTGGGTCCCAGCACCAGACTCAGAGCCACAGTGCTGAGTGGGAGCCCAGCTCTCTCCCCATTCGGCTTGATCCTTATAGCCTTAATTTCCCATCTTTTTCACAGCTGCTGCAAAGGAAGGCTGAAGTATCAGGGTCTCCTCTATAGCCTATTCCTTAGTAAAGCATTGAGGCCCATTACCAACAGATATAAGAGATAGTGGGGAAAAGAAGAGAAATGTGAAGGCTTTCTGAGCAGTTTGTTTGTAATCAGTGGTGGATAGGCAGTGATTTCTCTGGGTAGGGTTTGGTCTCAGAAATCCATTCAAGCTTATAATTATCTTGGCATATGTGGAAAGTCATATCTGTAGTCCCTCAAACCCATTAAAGCCTCACACTTTTCTAAAAGGGAGAAAAAAACCCTTCAACTTTACTTTCTCAGAGGTGGAATAGCTTTCTGTTCCTTGTCAGCTCTTGAAATCTGTCCCCTCTCCGCTGCCTGTCTTTAGCTGCCAAGGGAGAAAGAATGCAGGTCCACTGGGACAGAAAGGGAAAGAAAAAAATATTTCTGGGGAAAAAAAAGTAATGAGTCAACCTATTTCCATCCTTTTGCAACAGGTATTTCTCTGTGAGGACATGCAAGGGGAAAGGTGAGTCAATCTGTGAAACGGAGGCAGGATTATAGCAGAAGCTTTTGCTAATGTCTATAGTGGTGACATTTTGGGAAGCACAGAGGTCCCTGTGCTGCTGCAGGTATATCAGAGCCCATGGCCTTATTTGCTCTCCATCGGTTTCTTGGGCTCTGCCCCGCTACTAATTTTCCCTCAGGGAAAGGTCTCCGCTCTTCTACTTCAAAGTACTTGCTCATGGCTAAGCTGGATCTGCCCGGTGATACCAGCAAATTGAGAAAATGTCTGTACGGTCTAGCGTGAGCCTCAAGGGAGCCCCTCTTGCTGCTGCTCTGTGCCTTGCAACCGGGACTAAACAGCTTTTCCTCTTGCCTATGTGCAAGGCAAGAGGAAGCAGGCTCAGGAGGTCTTTGATATTAGAAATCGTGGGTCATATGACCTGAGACCCTAATATGAGACCTGACTGTTTCGGAGGCCTGTATTTTGCCTGTAAGCTGGGTGCAGTCCCACCTTCCTGCTCTGCTCTGTATCCTTTTGCTGCCTACACCATATGGGAGTTTCTTGGAGCAGGGACCATCCCTCGTCCTGCAGAGGTGGCATCAGTCTGAGCGAAGGACTGGCCTCAGCTAAAATCAGGGAAACCTCAGGGAAATCTGCGTGTGAATGAGCGATTGCGCTCTGTTTTGAGCTGTAAGCATGGCTGTGGGCATGTAGGCAAGGGTGGTTAGGGGCTAGAAAAGAAAAAAAGAGAGAGAAGAAAAGCAGTTTCCACTATTCAGGTAATTACTGATTTTCCAGAATGAAGTAGAAGGGATGCTACCGATGGGGGCCGGGGCTGCGCTGACGGGCTCAGGACTACCCAGCTGAGGTACAGCATAGGAATGGCCCTGTGGATTTGGGGGGGACTTCCTGGGCCTCCTCAGCAAATGGGTCCATAGCACACTTGGTTCTCAGGTCTCGCTGCATTTTTAATCTGATTTTTGCACTGTGAACATCATTAAAAAACTTCTGGAGGGGAAGGAGGGGAGCAGAAATCAAATCAAAATTTCAAAAATGATGAGATTGGAGCATTTGTTTTGAGGCTCAGTGGATTTAACATACTGGTTTGGCCACTGATCCCTTAAGTCTGCCTCCCACAGCAGCCATCCATGTCTGTTTCTGATGGCAAATTCCTCAAATGTCAGGCATGCATTTTAAATGGTTATTTGTACGGAGAGGCAATCCAGAGAGACCAGCTGGAGCACTTGGCCTGTCAGTCAAGGCTCGCAATGCCACTGCACCGACAAGAATCATTTTGACAGAAAATTGCATATAAATTGAATAATTTCAAAATTACGAAAGGGAGATGAAAGCAAATGCTTCCGAAATGAAGTGCCACCGGTGAGTCGTGATGTGCAGGGTTCAGCCTCGGGAGCCCTGCAGATCCCTCCTCCGGCACTCGGCTGCTGCCTGCCGGTCCATCTTTGTGCTGAGGCTGATACTAGGTTATTGCTAATTACCTAATGATGCTAATTATATTAGAAATATTAGGTTATTAGCTGCCCCAGGGGACTGACCTAAAGAAAAATGTTCTAACATGTCCAACGCTGCAGTGGCCAGGACAGCCGGGGGGTCAGTGAGCTCAGCGGCAGCAGTGGGGGGGCCCAGGACTTAGTTTCCATACCCCTTTCTCCCACCCAAGGGTGTCATAGAGGGGGGTGTGCTGAAGCCAAAATCACACTCACTGCTTTTGTGTGTAACCTTCAATCCACTTCTATTCCTAGCTATAGATTCGAGTAGCAATGAAAGGTGTTGGGAGACGTACCATATTAAAAATAAAATGCTCTCGATGAACCAAGGGGGTGTGAAGGAGCTGAGGTGCTGGGACTAGCAGAAACCTGTGCTGGGCAGAGCGTCGTGTTGCAGTCGTTGCTTATGCTGATCACATGAAACGTCACTGTAGGACCGTGCATGGTCGGTGAGCTAGAGCTGGGCTCGGGGACACAGGAGCTTCCTCCCGGGCTCTGCCGCTGCCCTCCCGTGCTACCTTGGTCAAGTCGCTTGGCCAACTTTCCCTAAGCCGCCTCCTCTTGTCTTTTTAGACTATCGTGTCTTCAGTGTCCTTCACAATAGTTTGTACTGCACCTTTGTGGGACTTTAAAAAATGCAAATATCATTAAAGAATAATGCTGATCAGCCCTGTTTGCTTTACAGTTTCCTGGCTGAGGTAGTTGCCCAGGTTGGAGGGCTGGAAACCCCCACGCCTGAGATGTAGCGTTTCCTCCTGTCCCCAAGCCGGGCTGTCGGGGGCTGGAGCTGGGACAGGGCTGGGGCAAGTGACGGCATCTCCTGGCACAGTGGGGGACTGGTGGATTTTGCTTGGCCATAGCCCGGGGCTGGAAGGGGGAAGTTATATGAAGGAAAAAACCCGCTTTGCAGACCGACAGCTGCCTGTATGCCCTGCTTGGCCATGGAGGGCTGGCGAAATGTGCTGCTTTCCAAAGCGATGCCTCCACCTCCTCTTCTCCCAGAGGCCTGAGGAAATGGCGTTTAGGATGCACCCTACACCCGCCTGCTGAGGGGGAGCTGCGTTGGCTGGGCGCTGCGGGGCTCGCTGTGCTGCAGACCTGCCACACGGTGCTGGTGGGTGTGAGGGTCTCCTTCCCCAGGTCACCCCTCTCCTGGCTGCCTGTGGGTACTGTGTGCCCTGGAAAAGCAGGCACCTGAACACCCTAAAAATGGTTTTAATGCGTTAATGCCTTTTAAGCGGGTAAGAAAACTTCTCCCAGGGCTGCATCTGCTCCAGGCACTGATGTGGTACAGCTCTTTGCTGGGCTGTTACTGAAGGGCAAAGCAAAGTTAATAAAAACCTGCACAGGGCATTTTCTTGGGTGCCTGTGAGCAGATCTGTAGTTCGCCTTCCCGGCTCTGGGGCCAACGTGGTCCCTGGGGCTCTGCCTGTCCCTCTGCTTGTCTGGCACTGGGGTCACTGGGCGCTTGGGAGGAGCACGTGTCCTCAGCCTCCTTTACCTGTGCCTCCTGGCTCAAATCGGTCCTCGGTATTAAAAAAAAAAAAAAAAGAAAGAAAAAAGCAGCAAGAAGGGCTTTTATTGTGAAAAAGAGACTCTTCAAATGCCTGTTCCCCCCTTCCCAGCCTCTCCACTCCCCTCCCCACAGGGAGGTGGGTCTGGGATGAGGCAGAGTTTGAAAACTCGCAGCTGGAGTTTGAAGGGTGTCCTCCTGCCGGGGGCGGGGGGAACCGGAGGCACCCACCGGTGTGTTGTGGCAGGGACCCGGCAGCCCCCGGCAATGCGGAGTCGGGCAGCAGGGATTGCGGAGAGTTTGGAGGGGCACCCCTGGGTGACAGCCTACGGCTGTGGTGGAGAGGAGGCAGGCTGATTGGTTGTTGGAGGACTTTTTTTTTTTAATCATTGCTTTTTTTTTTTTTTTTAATTTTGTATTTTGTGTGGGTTCCTGGTGTTGCATGGAAGCGGTGCAGGTGGCCGGTGCCCAGCTCAGGAGGTGACCGTGTGCCACAGGCGGTGAAGCACACGAGGAGGAGCGCATCAGCCGGTGCTGCGAGACATGGTAGGATTTAGGGGTTTCCTTGCTGAGCTGGTGGCGGGAAGTGATGCTGGGTCTGCTCAGGGACGCCAACCCCATGGGACGAGGTACAAGGCCGTGTCCCAGCTGTCTCCGTCCTGGGTGCAAGTCCAGCGGGACCCCTCAGAGGGTAAGGGCATGGTGAGGCAAGCAAGGCACGGACCTGCTCCAAAATGTGTCTGTCCTTAATGGTGGACAAAGCGGATTGTAAGGATGCCTGTATAGGCAGTGCCTGTGGCTGCTGTAGCTAAATGCACTGCTGTTGGCCAGGGAGGCAAAATCCACCTTTTTTAAGAGCCTGGGTCACATCGCTTCAGGCAGGTGACGAGCAAATAGGCAAAGGCAGCAAGGTGCAGAGCACGAAAAGCCCCTCCATGCTTTCTGTTTGGCCCTCAGAAAGCACAGTGCTTTCATCAACAAGTCACAAAACCAGCCAGTTTGGCAAGTGAAAATGCCCCCCCCCCCCGAAACAGCATGTTTCCCCGGTATTAGCAGATTCCCCTGCATCTGCGGCACGTTCCAAACCTCAGGGCGGTTTTTCATGTCATCTAGTTTTAGCACTCAAGTCTGAGACATCCCTTGGCAACTGGTTTCCAGACCCATCCAAGCAGGCACGAGTCAGCTGAGCTGGGACGGGGCCCCCACCACTCGCCGTCACCACCGTCCCACCGGGGGACAGCCGGGGCATCACGCAGTGGGGATTGCACCGGGGCAGGGGGCTCCATCTCTGCTCCTCCACCTCAGCCCTTGCAAAGCTCGCATTAGGCAGGGTTTGCAAATGTGTGTGGTGGATGAGCCAAGGAGGTGCCTGGTGCTGCTGCCAAAAACTGGTGCTTTGGTGTCACTTGTGTCACTGAAATGTTTTTCTGTCCTCGAGAGTATGGTGATGACTCAGAGCATCTCTGGGAGCAATGAGGCCGTGCCAGCCTTCACCAGAGTGTGTGTGTGTGTGTGTGTGTGTGTATGGGGGACACTGATGGTGTGCTTTATACTTTCCATCCTACGGTTTGCATAGGCTGTTTTGAGTTTCTTAATTAATGAACTTCAGCAGCAGGAAAAGTAGACAAGACTGAGGCTTGTGTCACCCATTTTGGGGTTGGAGATTACTCCTCCCTGCCAAAGAAAAAAGCAAGACAGCTCTCCCCGCACGAGCCTTTCATCTACAGTAACGCTTTCCTGTACGAGTCTTCACTGTGAAGCCTTTCAAGAGTATATAGCTTGTGCCAGGTACCTGGTGTGGTCTCCCCTCTGAGTGCGGGGTATTCAGTTTTTGCCAGGATTTTCATTTTGCCTTGGCAAGGGAAGGTCTGCTTCTGCAGTCCTTTCCCTTTGGTGAGCTCCCGTATTGATTGCTTTGATTTCACCCATAATCTGGGTTTGCTCTGGGCACCTGTAGGCAGGGCAGTGATGGTCATAAGGAATAAATTCAGTGACCACATACAGAAAGGCAGAGAGATCCCAGCTGTGAGCTTCACCATTAGTACGGAGTGCGTGCTTGCAGCTGGCTGCTTGTCGGATCCGGCCGCTGTGTGTGCCCGACCTGCCGGAGCAGTGAGTGCTGGGGGATGACTGCATTACAGAAACATCTTCTTTATTCTGGTTTCAAAATCTGCCAGTGAGTAAGTTCCAACTGCTCTGTTGTTTGCCTAGTATGAGGCAGTCTAAATAAGAGGGACTGATTAAACTTTATTAATCCTCTGGCAAAGATGCCAAATGCCATGATTACGCCGTCTGTTTCAAATGCTCAATAACTCCAGCCTGCCTGCAGCTATTTGCCTTGCCCTGAAGGAAGAGCCCCCTTTTTTGGGAGCTGGGCCGCAGTGGTGGTTGTACCGTATTTGCTCCGCTCGCTCACCCCGTGGGGTTCATTGGGAGAAGGAAAAGTGGGCTGGAGGGTGGCTGCCGGCAGGCTTTGCCCAGGACGGGGTCTGCGGGACACAGGTGGCACTCAGAGCCAAGCAGCAAGCAGCTTTTTTCCCCTTTTTTTCTCTTTAAGAAGTAATGGCTTAAACGGAGGAAAACGGGGTTACCTTTCTGTAACTGAGGCCAGGGCTTTTTTGAACAATTCTGTTTTGAAGAAAGCCCGCAGGGCTGAAAGGCCCTGCTGTCCTCCTCCTCCCTCCCCTTTGGAATCCCACGAATGCGCTTTCCTGCTCTCCAGGAACAGAAAAAACCTGACAGCCAGCTCGGGGAAACTCAACCGGCAGGCTTGGGCAACGTCCGCTGAAAAGCCGACGAGGGAATCCGGCGCTGCCCCTCGCCAGCACCCCGAAGTGGGTTTTGCAAGCCCCTGCCAGGCACTGAGCAAGCACTCCTGTTCCCTGGTGCTGGTCCACCGGTTAGAAATGAAAACTGAAAATAAGTAGATCAAAATCCTCCCCTCCCCAAAATATAGAAAAAAACATGACCCCAGTAAAATAAATAAAATGGGACTGAGTGCCAAAATCTGTAAGAGAGTTTTAGTAGCTTTTCAGGCACTCATCAGCAGGATTGGTAAATACATCAAGAGTGAGAAGGAAATAAAATTTGATTTTATTTTAGTGTATTCCTCCCCATATTAAATGCAGCCCAGAACATGTCGCAAAAAAGATGTGGCTTTCTAGCGCTTCTGCTCTTTGCTGCTGTTAAGCATAGAGGAGCCAAAGCAGTGCAGCCCCGCTAGGGATGCCAAGGCAAAGCTGGTGAGTGGCCCAGAGGTACAGCGAGAGAAGCTACTGGCTTGAGGGGGGTTGTGAGGAAAGGAATCTGTGGTGGCTCCCAGGTCCGACTCTTACTTCCCCGGGTTTGGGAATCCCACAGGCATCATCAGTGTGAGCCGCTGGCTGCAGCTGGAACTGAAGCGCTGAGGAGAAGGACTGTCAATTCCTGAATGCCGCGGGGAAAAAAGCATATTGCTTTTCACCAGAAGAAACCCAGGCGTTTTGAGGCAGTTTGCGTGTGGGACTCGAAGGGAAGGAGTCCAGCCCGAGGGCCAGAGGCTGCTGCCCTCCTCCAAAGCATCCCCAGCACAACCCCTCACAAACAAAGGCAAGCCTGTTCAAAATGAACGGGGGCACAAGGCACAGATGTTGCACAAAGGCGAGCCACATCTGTTTCTCCAGGGAAGGGGGCCCCTTCTTGCTGTTTCAGCAGGCAGATGGGAAAGCCGCTCTGAAAACCTCTGGCGCTGAGTGCAGCAGGCTGGCCGGGAAACTGGGACGAGGGGAGGGGGAAGAGGGAAACCTGGCCAGATCCTCCTGCACAGGAGCGGGGGGAGCGAGGGAGCAACGGCCGCCCAAAACCACTGCTCTCCCTCCTTGACGTCCCTGCCAGGATTTCTAGGTTGTGCTGCTCTCATGTAGGTGTGAGGGTTAGAGGAACGAGCAGACAGAGAGGAGGGAAGAGGAGGCGGACCTCCCTTGTCCCGTGATGCTAGCAGGACAGTTGTGCATTCAGGGCTGCTCAGATCCTCGCTGTCTCCTGTGAATTTGAGGTGCTGTTCCGGGTCTGCAGTGACCTGAATGGTTTGGGTGCAGGTTGGTATCACTTAACTTAAGGCTTTCAGTGGTGAAAAGTAGTGGAGATATTTGCACATGTAAATGACAGCAGACCTGTGTGTCTCGGTGACATGTCCTGAAAGGCAACCAGCAATCTCTTAGGAGATGTGTCTCCAAGAAATAGAAGATCCAGCTAAGTGCAAGAGTCTGCAGTAAAAGCCCTGACTCTGAACTTAAGCAGGAGAAGGATGAGGCATCTGAAAGGTTTTAGTTTGCTTACTTTAAGCAAAAGAAGTATGGCATCCTGGAGACTGTTTATTTTTGTGGTGCTTTGTGTTGACTTCTGGGATTAAACTGGAGGGGTCTTGAGCTGTGCTGTACATAGCGTCGGGATGAAAAGCGCCCTGTCCATCCCTCACAGAGCTGAATATTAACTTCCTGCAAACCAAAAGATTTACACAGCGGGAGTGAGGAGAGCTATGAATCTTTCCTTTTTCTCAGTGGAAACCACACAATTTAGGGGTAAGGACAGTGTCGTCACAGGACGAGCAAGTCCCCGCCGGTACCCTGCAGGGCTTTAGTCCATCCCAGGCGCAGGACGCGACGTGTGTCCTCTCCGGATCCCCCCAGGTGGTAGCCCTGCCCTTGACTGCATCAGCTGCACCCTGTAGTGCGGTGTCCTCCACCCAGGTGATGGCCATCCATCTGCTGCATGGTGTCCTCCGTCTCCTGTCCCAGGACGTCCGTAAAGATGCTGAACTGCACTTGCAGGCTGCTCCCGGGGGTTTTACGAGCCCGTGTTTCATCTGTACTTGTTTGGTCTGTAACTCAACTGGGACCAGCCAGTGCAATGGGAATGGCACTGTTACATACTGGTTAAGTGCTGGGATTTTTCTCGTTACACAGAGCAGTTTCCAGCACTGACTGAAGATTTTGTTCAAACGGTCTTTTGGATGACAGGGTGTGTGAGAAGAGCTAGGGCAGAGAAGCACTTCCAGCATGAGAGGCCTCCCAAAACCAGAAACAGTGGGTCTGGGTGGGGGGGATTGAGCAAGAAATGGGATGTCTTGTTCCTGAGAAGCAAAAACTCCAGGGGCTGATGCAGGGCCTGGAGTCAAAGACACACCAGGTTATTACTAGAGAGAGGATGTGGAGCTTGAGGGTTTCAAGCTTTTTATAGTTTGCTGTCCCAAGGCTGTAGCCATAACTGGGAAGAACTATGAAGGCAACATTATTTTAGAAGTTAAAGGAAGCATGTTGGCACCATCCCTTTAAAGTCAGTGCTCAGAGTGGACAGTATTAACACCTTTTCATCCCTTTATGCTGCTGCTGGAGAATTGTCCTATGCTAGTGCAAAGCACGCTTGTCTCGCAGTTGGACTATAAATTATCCCCTTGAGGCAGAAGCTTTGCAGACTGTCCAAGATTTAGCAAAATACACCATGTTTAAAGTTTTGTCCCGGGCAATTTAACTTGGTCATTTTCTGGTTTGGTTTTGGACACACTGGTGAGAAGGTTTGTGTGCCAGCTATGAGGACTTCGCTGACTCTGCAGGGAAGGCCCCAGCACCATGCGGCGATGTATCACGTTTCCATCTCCCAGGCTTCAGCCAACCCAGCGTTTGCTGTGACTCCCTTGCATACGGTTTGTGGGAGCACAGTCCCCCTTCCCACCTCCGCAGCGCCTGGCTTGAGCTTCCCAAGCCACTTGTGAGGAGCAGTGCATGGAAGCAGGTCTGCAGGGGCACCTTGAGCAGGCAGGCAATGCCTGCCTGCCGCATCCCTGCCCTGGCACCGAGCAGGGTGGCCTTCAGGGTGCCCACAGGGTGCCAAAATGCAGTGGGGTTGTGGTCCTCCCACCTTCAAAGGCATTTTGGTGGAAAAAACCTGCAACCCTGGCAGAAACAACCCCAAACACAAAGCCGGTGCAGGTCTGCTAGGAATTACGGCCACTTTGATGGATCATGAGGCTGCATGAAGGAACGTCCTTTCTTCGTGCCCCGTGGCAGCACAGGTGCAGGCGGGTGGTGGTGGGACCTGGTGCTGTAGCCGTGTGTGGGGGGAGCACAGTGGACCTGCCTCCCCGGGCAGCTGCTCTGAGCCAGGGCTGCCTTCAAGGCTGGCAGTCCACACTTAATAGCTGTCTTTAGTAAATTCCCACTCTGAGAGCCGTCTGTCTTCCCCGAACAGGATGATATAGGAAGGTACTTAAGCACCTGAATGATGGGTGACAGACGCTGCCCAGGATTTCCTTTTGCTCAGGCTTGCCCAGAGTCACTCTCGGGGTGGAGGGATTTTGTCTCCTTCCACATCCTCGGCATGGTTATGGGTCCCCAGCAGCAAGCTTAGCCCACGTGCCATGCCCTTAACAAGCCAAAAAACTCCTGGACAATGCCAAAAGGAAGAGGCTGTTGCCCTCCCAGATCTGGTTGATGTACCTGCTCTCAGCATCTCTCCCCGATGCACTGGGAGCTACCCCAAGCACCATGTGTCGGGGTCAAGGCTCTGGAGACGTTCCTGGGGGTGGGGGCCAGCCAGAGGAGGTTTCCCAGTTGCTTTTTAAGCAGTCTTTGTTAAAAGTGGTCACAGCAGGCTGCATCTCCTACTGCCCAGGCAGTTTTGTGGTTCATCAGGCGGGCAGCAAGCACAGTGCTGGGAGGGTAAGTACCGCTCTGTGTGTCGCACCCACCCTCTGCAAAATATAGCCCACATGGTGTGCATCCAGATAAATGCACATACCTGCTTTTAACCTGCTCACTTCTGGCCTTTGGCAAAGTCCTCTGAGCTCAGGAGCCTAGAGCAGGCAGGTGGCCAAGAGGGACATGGCCATGGCCGAGCCATCCTGGGTCCCTTGGGCACCTCTTTGGGATGGTGGGATTTACTGCTGGAGGGGTCTGGCAGTGCCGCTGCAGGGGCAGGGGCACTCTCGGGGATGCCAGAGGAAAGCAGGGATCAATCCCGCTTTTAAAGGCCACGTATTTCCATGGCATCTTTCTAGTTTTAAGGCTGTTTCTTACATTCTTGGGTAATGAAGTTTGGGGTTTGTTTTTCTTTTCTTTCAAGCTTGACAAAGCCAATTTGATGCGCTTTGAAAAGAAATTGAAAACAGGCTTCTCTGCTTCAAATTCTGCCAAGGTTCAAGTGTCCCGGGAATACAATGTCAAAGATAAAACCCTCCCAACCACACTTAGAAAGTTTTATCCCCAAGTGGCCAGGCTGCACAGGCTCTCCACCATGCCTTTGGGAGCCCAGGCTGTGCTGTATGTCCCTCTGATGATTGAGGATATATATTATTTACCTATTGGCATCCTGGAACAAGCAGTACCTCTCTTAAGCCTTTTTATGGGTTTTGCCTGTAGCTTGCCCGCTGGGAAATGGACCTAATTTCTAGCAAAGATGTGCTGTACTGTCAGTATGTCAGACTGGCAAAGCAGAGGTCTACGTATGGTTTGCATTTCAGGCTGAATCAAAGCCATAGCTTAAACTACAGCATTTTTTTACAGCATGGGCTCAGAGAAAGTCTTTTTGGAAAAGTATTTACCCTGGGCTTGTAAATACAGTATTATTTCTGCAGTGTTCTATCATCTAGATTATTATTAAATTTGCAATATCGACTGCCAGAAATAACACAGAGACTGTACTTGCACTTTTTTTTTTCATTGTTGATGTGGCAGGGAAACCCTGAATGGTACTGGGGAAGGCAGCCTGCAGTGGCCCTCACCCAGCTTCACAGCACAGGATTTCAAGCTCGGGGTGGGAAAGAAACGAAACTCTAGCTTGCGGTGCCCAAACCCGAGCTCGCTGACAGAGAAGACAAAGTGGGTTTGGACAATAATGATTCCTTAGCCACTTGGACTGTAAACTGACTTGACATTAAAAACCCAGCAATCATTGCCATCCATTTGGCATCCACAGCTCCCCAGCTGTGGATTAAAAAGGATTTTTCCTGCAGTATTTCCAAGGTTCTCCAAATGGCTCCCGCATACACACCTCCCCGCCCCCCGGATATTTGGATTTTTGGCAGCCAGGCTCTTTGCATGCCCAGGAATGGTGTAAGAGACCAATGGGTTATTATCGGCAGAAGAGGGTTATGAGGGGTTTTGGCAAGAGTGGGGTGGGCCATGTCTCTCTCCAGAAGGATGGGGGAGGCACTGGGAAAAGTTGCCCAAGGAAGCACAGATTGGGAAGGGAACTCAGCTGGGGGCAGATGGGAGTACTGAGATTTACAGTTAATCCTGTCCATCAGGATTAACTACATAGATGTCATTGCAGTTAATTCAGTGTACTTTAAGGCTGGACGGACAGATTGTGAAGCACTTACAGTGATGACTTGAAAGGAGTATGGATATCAGGATATCAGGATCTGGCCTTTTTATGCCACAGCGTTATTTTGCTATGGTTAAACTATGATTTAGACATTGCACCTCCCCTAAATTCTTGCTCGGGATGCCAGACCTGGGTTTTGGTGCTTGGGAATAAGGGTGTGTCTGCACTCTGCAGGTGTTGCTTGAAAACCAGGGCCTGAAGGTTTTGGGTAGCTAAGCTCGAGTGCCACCTGTGTTAGTTGGCGTTGGCTATGGTTCCACAGCAAATCATTATCCCATCCAAGTGGGAGAGAGCTGGGGAGGCATTGCAACCAGCCACTTGACAGAAGTCCTGCTTCCCGTTGGGGCTACCCAGGGGTATTCATGCTCATTGCCTGCCCAGAAAGGGGGCTAAGACAATAATTTAGCCATGTAGTATGATGCCTGGGACAGTTACTACCAAGCCTTGAGTAACCCTGCCCGTGATCTAGGACAGGACATCACTCTCTGAACAGTCTCACCCCGGACTAGCTCCTTTTCACTCTGGGGCTTTAAGGCAGAGCTAAAACAGTGGGTCCCCTGGCAGGTCCGAAAGCCACACACCGGACAGCCCCAGCTCCTGGCAGAGACCAGTGTAAGCCATGTGTGAGCAAAGAATTTGGTCCAGAGGATATATTTTGGTGCACTACATTGCATTGCTGGGAGCAAAATAATTAAATGAAAGCTATAAAGCTGAATCACTCCAAATGCATCATCACTAGCTCTTATAAGCTGCATTAAATCTACTTAGTCCTTTAGAGGGAGACCTCGTAGGAAAACCCCCACGGTTGCTGCCAGCGAGTTGGTGGCTTTGTGGCTCATCTTATCCACCTCGGCTGATGTAGTGTGTCTTTGGGACGGGTATAGCTCCTCACCCTGGGGCCATCTGAAGCAGCCTCCCTGCGGTGAGGGTATGAGACCTGATGGATTTTAGGATAGTGCTGGATCAGCTTATGAAAGGGCTCATGGGCTGGGGTCGCCTGGGGCAGCTCCTCTTGGGGCTGGAGCTGTGCTAGTGGTGGGTCCCTGCAGCCAGTGGGAGCCTGGGGTCCTAAAAGCTCCGTGGCTGGAAACACTTCTGCTCATCCAGCTGCCTTCTGGAAGTCATTCTGGCTGCTGGCTCTCACCCCGCCAGCTTTTTAGCTCTTTTTTTTTTCAAGCTTTTCCTCTTATAAACAATCTCTTATCCCTTCTTTGGCAATATATTGTCCTGCTGTGTCTGCCATGGATATACTTGTGCTTCCAAAATAAATAATTGCAAAAAAATGTATCCACTTGAACGTTGCCTTGACTTCCAACGTGGGTTCAAGCCACGTGGAAATGCCTGTTGTAAAGCAGAGAAACGGTGCCAAGGTGCCTTTTGCTGCTCCAGCCCCCCCCGAAGCGTGTTAGACCGCCCGAGCCTGGGTGAACGTGGCACGGGTGCAGCGTGGCCTGGGGATGGGGCGGGCTGGGGAGGATCTCCCAGCACTGCCCCATCGCTTCCCTCCGCCTCACCCCGAACAGGAGGCTGCTGTGCTCGGGGCAGAGCTGCACGCCTGGGATTGCTTTAGGCCAAAGGGGAGATACGAGCTTAGCAATGCACAGTATTTGCTCATAACTGCCTTTCCAGCCTATATAATTTTTATAAGGCTCTTCAGAGTAGAAAGTGTGACTAGAAGGGGGGAAAAAAACAGCTGTGTGTATGAAGATATATACACCAAAACTCGGTAGTACCCATCTAAAGACAGTTCCTTGGTGCTGGGAATCAGAACGTTTTAGGTTTCACATACAGCAGTTTGCATCCTTTTTAAATACAGGCTGCCACCGCTCCCGACTGGCACTTGGAGCTGCCTTGCTTTTGCCGGACGCAGCAGTGGGCAGAGCTCCAGAGGCCGTGCCTCGGCACGCATTGAGATGTCCTGCGAACGAGGGCGTGGGGAGCCGGGTTAGGGGTTCAGTGGGCAACCGGGATAGGAACCACTGAGGGTGCCCAGAGTAAGGTCTGAAGATCAAAACCTCTTAGGAACTGGAAAGCATTCGCAGCCAGCCAGGAATTTGCTCTGGTTTGGCCTCTTTTTTTTTTTTTCATTTCTTGAATCTTTAAAGCAAAATATTTGACCATGAAGAATTCATTGCCCATAAGGTGATCCTGTATATCAGCGCTGCAGACATGGCAATGCCTGTGGCGGGTCACGCCTTGCTCTGACTGCCTTCTGAAGGTCATTGTGCCTAATTTCTGGCAAAAAACATGCCGCCAGCCGTACCTCTCCCGCTACAGTGCCGCGGA